CGTTCTTAATGATGGAAGAGGTAAACACTAGACCTGTCTCTTATACACATCTAGATGTGTATAAGAGACAGCACCTAGCCCCAGATGCCACACTCACCTAGCCCCAGATGCCACACTCACCTAGCCCCAGATGGCACACTCACCTAGCCCCAGATGGCTGGCACACTCACCTAGCCCCAGATGGTGCAGGGTGATGGAGAGGGAGAGCTTGGGGGTGGTGAAGGGGTGGGGGGCGTCCAGCTCTGGCCGGGGGTTGAGCTGTAGCCGCGCGGTCAGACTCAGCGGCAGCAGCGCTTAGGGATTAATTATAATAAAATTAAAAGATAATAATTATAGGTTAGGAAAAGAAATATACAATACATAATTATTGGAAGCAAATGTGAGAAAAACTTTCAAGTGGGTGGCCCAGTGGTTACAGTTCAAAGAACAGCAAAATTGAAATAGTGAGCTGCGTGTTCGAGACTGCAAGAAGCTGTGAATATTTTGAATATCAGCAACAGGTCTAACGACCTGATGAACGCAGACATCGCTACACTATGTTGAGTGCAACACAAGCCTTCACATCACCTTTGCTCGTATAGGCGTGGATGAATGAAATGCTACACACAAGGGCATCACTCACCGTAGTAGGGGAGGGGCGGGGCATCACTCACCGTAGTAGGGGAGGGGCGGGACATCACTCACCGTAGTGGGGGAGGGGACGGTCCCCCCTGGGGATGGCTGAGTGCATGCGGGTGCACAGCTCAGCGCGGGACAGTGCTGCCTCAGACAGCAGCTCAGCGTCAGCCTCCCAGTACACACCCAGCCCCTCCAGCGCTAGCAACTGCAGGGAAATATCATATATTATGTGTCTTATATTATTAAAATGTTTTATAAATAAGGTTTTAATAGTATATTTTATTGTTGTGATATTATTAGTACACACCCAGCCCCTCCAGCGCTAGCAGCTGTGGGGCAAGATCATCTGTTATGAGTCTTATATTATTAAATTGTTTTTATAATTAACGTTCTAATAGTATATTTTATTGTTATGATAGTATCAGTACTGTCAGTACACGCCCAGCCCCTTCAGCGCTAGCAGCTGTAGGGCAAGATAATCTATTATGTGTCTTATATCAGGGTTGGCGATTTTTTTGATTTTTTTAAAAAAATCAAAAAAATCAAAAATCAATGATTTATTTGATTTTTTCATGATTTTTTTGATTTATTTGATTTTTTTGATTTTTTCAACTTTTTTGTCTATTTGAAGTGTTATTTTTTTTATGTTGTAGTTAGCCTACTAACAATAACAGTATATGGATCATAATGGATGGCTATAAAGGGCACTTATTGCCTTCAATAATGGCCAACAGGCCTAGGTGGTGTTTACCACTTAGGGATTTTTGGGTAAACAATTATTGGTAAGTCTATTCATTAGCTTTGTAAAGTTTGTATGGAGCAAAGTAATGAGTTAAATATTGACCAATTAACTGGCTTCAATATACAAAAACTTCTATGATTAAGTGAACGTAAGTACTTACGCTCTATTTTCTTGTCTATGATTAAGTGAACGTAATTACTTACGCTCTATTTTCTTGTCTATGATTGGTGGATTTTGCTTGAAAGGCCGTCAATGATTGGCTAATGGACTTACGATCTCTTAACTTTTTTTTTAAAGTATAGGCCCTGCTCCACAGCGAGGCAAAAATTCACACAGTTTTTTTCTTAGCTTTTTAGGACATTTTCTAATTTGTGGAAAATGCACTATTGTGTTCGCCATGTCCGTCTGTCTGACCGTCCGTGACTTCACGCTTTCGTCGATGAGAAAATGTGCTCTCTGTCACACACTGCAGTAAGAACTGAGTTATATTTTTTATCGTTTTTTACTTTTTCATTTCAACTGATTCACGGGGGAGGAGGGAGGTTAAATTGACTTATTTCACCCACGTTTAATTTCAGGAACTTCATAAATTTGAGTCTTAACGCCGGGTTACAATAATAATAGAGAGTATTGTTGTATAGAAGGATTGCGTCAGAAAGGACATGTAGGATGAATTTTTAAATATGTGGCAAAAATGCAACATAAACGGGAAGGGA